GCTCTGAGGGATTTCTTTGAAGGTCTTCTAGACACATGATAGGCTACATAATCCTACCAAATTTCATATAAACTGAGCCATTTTGCCATGCTTGCATCAAATCCCCATATCAAACATCTGTTATCCCCGCTTGGGATGGGCGTACCAAGTTTCATTTATGTTTGAGTATGCTAAGCCTCTAAAAAAACAACTTCCTGTATTATGGTGGACACTGTGATGCTTCATCAACAGAGATCCACAACGTCTTGTTAGCTTCAGGATGTAGCATTTTGGAGGGTCGTAGTATGTTCAGTGTCCAACTCTGTTGCATCTTGGATATATTGTAAACATCACATGGCACTCTGTATGTCTTGACCTTTAGCCTGCGGGCAAACAGCTACAACATGCCCACCTTTTAGACACACTCCTGCTTATACCTAATTATGCCTGAACTGCTTTACAGAACAAGTTTTAAAATAAATTAGCTACAGAGACCAAAACTGTTTTTACTACAAGGAATAAACATGATTTAATTCTGCTGTAAAAATAGGCATTTTAGCCTGGGTCCAGATTAGGATTCCTTGGCATTTAGAGCCGATCTCAAAGGGACACTAGAGGAATTGCATTTTATTTACACTTCTGTATTGGAGTGGAATTCATTTTTTCAGCACCAGAGGTTTCTGCTTGGATAATACCTGTGCCTGCCAGACTTCATTCATCTTGGTAAAAAGCACTGTAGGTGCTGCTTTGTTGAAAATATGGAGGAAGCACCAAGATATGTATTGCAATTCCAAGTCCTAAACCCCCAGTTTAAATGTAAACCTTTTTCTAGTGTGTTTCATGAGTTTTCAAGCACCTGAAGCCACTGAAAAAAAACAAAAAACATCCTGATTCATAGCGAGACTTAAAAATCCATCACGCCATCTATAGGACACGCCTTTCTACCAAAACCTGTACACAGTTCAGCATCATAAAGGTCTTAAGGCTGTACTTTTTTGGCTCGGGCCCTAATCATAATCCTGTCAGATACAATAGGGTCCTCATTCTGCTTGCAACTCCGGCCTAACAAGTTCTTGCAAAGCTCCCTCAAGGCGTGTAGATTATAAAATGAATTCATGAAAACAGGGTTATAGAGCAATGATATTGCCTTAAGATGATTGCTTACTGTTCCACTATTTGTTGGACTTTCCCTCACTGGGTCAGACACGCAACACAATTTAGTTTTTGGGTCAGTTTCACAGACATAAAATAATCTTTCGAGGACTGGAAAAATCTGATTTAGTTCATCTTGATGCAGTGCTTTAGGTGTTATCCTTCCATTCCAAACTAATTCCATATCAGTTCATTACCTGGCCCTAGATCACTTCTTATCTCACCGTGGCAGGATGGGAAATAATTCTGTTTTTTTTTGTATCTCTCTCTCCAATATAGCCCTAAGGTCGTCTTGTCCTATAGCTTTCTCTTCAAACACAAAGCCTGTTTGTGCAGAGCTTTGACCACTTTGGACATCTTTTCATTTTTTAGTCCAAACAGAGGCCGTGTCAGAGGCATTTCTTTTGCCTTAAACACCCTGTGTATGGGTTTGTGCTGAGAAAAATACAGTGCAAAGCTGAGTAATTTGTTCCCCTGTCAGTGCTCGCTTCGGATCTGAGCGGGCACTGAAGAGGACGATGATCACAAGGCAGTCAAGTGCAGCGGTCGCAGGCAGGCCATATTTCTCCTTCCGAACCGTTTCTCCTCACAAGCTGGCATGTACAAATGAACAGCAATTCTCATTGCTGTCGCACACCACTGTAAAAGATGGATGTTGTGTCTCCACCTTCTTGTGTTTTACAGAAGTGAAGCCAAAATACGTCTCAAGACGGGCGCTTACATACTGCTCTGATGACATCATTTAGAGCAACAGTTCGGTCACGTGTCTGTTTACCTTTACCCTATCGTTACTGAGCGCCACTCCTGTCACTGAGCAATCTCAAAAGCAGCACCAGAACTAGCTAACATAACCAATAAGATCATATTTTAAGGCCATTTTTGTATTAACACTTTTTTTTACCGCTAGCCTGCAACTAATCTCGGGATATGTATGGCCACAAACAATGCACTGAATGGATCCTTCACAGTCCAGTAAAGTGGGACGCATTTGAAGGAGCCTAAGAAAATTGTGACTGTGACGCAATAAGTCTTCAAGTGCACGTCCCTGAAATAAGATGTCATTTCTGCATCTGCTCACACACGCAAACAGATTTGCACAAAACTCCGAATTGCACAGGGAACCTTAAAAGAAACCCAAGAAAACAGGAGCCGGTACTGGCTCACACCCCAACACGCTGGCACAGCTCACAACAGGTCTAGACTAGATTAGGGGAACAATAGAGGATAATTCAATGGGGATTTAACAGATTAAGATTGGTAAATTGTTTCTTTGTGATTTCATCCTGGTTAGTGTCTGTATGTTTGTGTGTGTACCTGCCTCTGCCTGGATACCATCATTATGAAGCAAGGTCAATAAACAAAACAGTTTACTGCAATAAAACCCAGAATTGCAACACCTATGCTTACACACACTCATGAAAATCTCAGTATTTATATTCCTTCTAGTCTCACATGTCCCTCCCAGTTAATATCACGTCCACTTTTCTCTGCTGGAAGAACAACTGACAGCTAAAAGGTTAGAGAAGTTCAAGACGCCCTCCTTAAAATAGCTGCCTTTACTCCTAAACTGCTTTTATTTTCCCGATTCAGAAGACATCAGAGCAGGACGGCTATCAGGAGGGAGGAAAAACATTACTTTTGTCATCTCAAAGAAGAAGAACAAAGTCAGACAGATAAAGTGCAGCATCTGATGCTCGAATTAAAATCACCTTGACTAGAAATATCAGGATTTAACAGAGTGTTGTTTTAGCAGGAGTGTAGAGATGTCACACATTACTCTGGACTTATAACGCCTCTCTGTCTACTTGTCTCTCACTTTTTCTGTCTCTTGACTACAACAAATCACAGTTTAACGTTGCTGTGCTTCAATACAGCCAAATAATAAACAAAGCCAATGAGAACAAGACGTGAGAAGAGACTTTTCTGAATTCACATCCTGTTAAACTGATTATCAAATGACAAAGCTCAGCAGTATGAGGACACATTGAAATGAAAAATTCAATAAAGTCTCATTTCTCAGGGTAGTAAAAAAATAAATAAATGCAATCGGAGAAGAGCATTGACGTCACATTTCACGATTACGCGTCAGCCGGGAGTTGACACCATATCCAAATGCCAGCTGTAGCCTCAAAGGTGTCGTGTGAAAATGTGAATCAGCTGTCACATCTTTATGTGTCTACCAGTTCGTCTAGTCTGTCTGCTGAGTCAACCTGTTCACCTCAATAACTCTGTGTGCCTGTCATGGCCTGTCTTCTGTCAGTATGGCACATGTTCAAACTTCACTGCGCATTAAAAAAAAAGCTCCTTTATAATTACACTCACGTAAGGTCTCTGAAGCTGTGCAACCTAAATGAACACAATGTTTTGAAAAGGAATTTAACTCTGTTGACTTAAGATACATTATTAGCTAACAGTTAGCTTAGCTAGCTCAGACAGACTGTGAATAGAAGGAAACAGCTAGCATGCTCTAAAATAATTTGTCAAAATAATGCCTCATAAAACAAATTAACTTTTTTTACACTTGAATGTTGCACAGATTGAAAACAAGTGTTATTAGTTATGCTGTGTGTTAGTTAGCAAACATTTATGATGATGATTTATTAAGACTAAGTTTCCTTAAATGTTCCACCTTCACTCTGAATGCTAAGCTAAGTGACAGCTAGCTTCAGTTCAACATTGAAGCATGGTATCAAACTTCTCACTTAGCGTCATGTAAAAATTAAATAAAAGTGTTTTCAAATAAATCTCTTTATTCAAATGAGACCTCCAACAAGTAGGCTATGTTTTCTAAGGACCTTGTTTTTCTCCCCCCCCGAAAAAAATGTTTTTAATCATAAATCATGCAAAGCATTTTCTCCTCTGCCTGAAGTAGATCATTTAACAAAGAGAAAAAGGTTCAAGGCTTCAAACAAACACCATTTAACTTCACCAACTGTATCATGCTGCTTCTGCTGAGCTGAGATAAAGAACCACATTAACCAACCATTCATTTTTTCAGTTCATGAGAAGGGGAATTTTTTGCAACTGAAGGAAAAAGGAAGCTAAATAAAATGTTTGGGTGAGCGGGTAACATTTAAGAGAATGGACTTTTCTTGTTGAGTGTATGGGGAAGATTGATTCATCTATCAAGTCTTTAATATATCATGACGTTAATGTCAACAGGAGTAGGTTGTTAGCCTGCTTTTAGCGCATATGAAAACAATGAGCGTGACCTTGACCGATGCTTACACAATCATGAAATCATCATCAGTTTTTGTGATAAGCTAACTGACTGCTAGTTTTAGCGACATGTTTAGCACTTCTCTCTCGCGCAGAGTTTTCCAGGAAGATCAATACAACTCTGTGAGCCTACAGTACAGATTAAACATTTATCAACCGCTGGTTAGCTTAGCTGAGAAGAGATTGGAACAGCAAACTTTCTTCAGAACTGTAGGACCCCTTGGATAAGAGAGGAGACTTCTTAAAGAGCTTCAACCAAGTCCAGCTGCAGTTTGGATTCAACTTGAACAACATTTACAGATGCTAATTAAACCAGGGGAATTTGCAGCGTCCCCCTATTTGCAGTCCTTGTGTTAAGCTCACTGGCTGCATATTAGCAGACAGACAAACAGACATCAAACCAATCTTTTCACCCAGCTCTTAGAAAGAAAGAAAATACGCCTGTTCTTCCAAAGTATTCCTTACAGTTTAAAGATACCACATAAATCTACAATTATAATTTTTTCTACTATTTTCTTTTCACCTAATTTGCAAATATAGCCCATGGGCAGAGACAATGCTGAAGTCAATTTATATCAGTTTTTCATTTTAAGAGAGTCTTTAAAAAGTTTATAAGCTAATTTTTCCACTTCTGTCTCCCTCCTCCACAGCGCCCCCATCACGCCCACGCCCTCTTCGACTTCACGCCACACCACCCCTCCCAGCTACGCTTCCTGCGCGGTGATGTCATCGAACTCATGGACTGCTCAGACTCGCAGCGCTGGAGGGGCCGTTGTCATGGACATGTGGGCTACTTTCCTCCAGAGTACGTCCAGTCCATTTATCACTGCCAGTGATCTGACCATTTCCAAGATCCATCATCTTAACCTCGCCCCTCACACCTTCATCATCTTCCCCACGCTTGACCATGCTTTGTTTGGGGGCAGAAGAATGGACGGCCTGCAACCAAAAAGATTGGTTTGTTACTGACTTCCTCCTATTTCCCTGTGACGTCACCTGTCAAGCCCGAGCTCTGCCCAATCAGCTACTTCAGGCTAATCAAATGCTTCAACCTCATCCCACCGCTCCACTTCTCCCAAAAAATAAAAAAAAGTTCACATTTGGACCTAGACACTGTGGACAGCTCACACATACAAGCACAGCTAAACATAATCCCAGGAATGTTCTTTTTTCTTGTACTGCTTTTCAGTTTTGGTTCAAGCTAAATACAAGCAAAACATACCTGCCTGATAAGAGGGAAAAACTTTGGGAGGTTGCTGATGGAGGAAAAGTTTTCTCTGCTGCAGATGAGTCGGGGTTTCAGGATATTTCTGTCACCCCCACATGGAGATCCGGTGAAAGACACAGCGGTATTGTGTTGTAGAAAGTGAAACAACAGATTAATCGCTGGCTGGGCTTGAGTGTTTAAATGTGTGTATGCTGAGGGGTCTGAGTGTTTAACGTGGATCTTAACCTGCAAACTTAATCCATGTGTACGTTTTATTGTGTGTAAACTGGGAAAGGGATGCATGCGTATGTGAGTTTGTTGGAGTGCGTGAGTTTGTACAGCCCTACTGTGTTGACCATTAGGACCAGTTAAGGGGAATTCTTTGATGAAGTGACCAGTTTGTTGAGCACTGCCCGGCCCTAGATAACGCTTTCTTTTACTACACAGCTTAAAATGTATTACCCTAAACTCAATATATGGGTCATTTGTTTGTTTCAATGTATTTATTCTTAATAATGGGTAATCTTTCAATAGGCTACATGTAATTCAAGAACAAGTTAACATTGTAAAAAGATTTTCTTTCTGATGTAACCGATTGTTTAAACACATTTTATGTGATAAAGAACTTGGACCGGTCTTCCTTAACCTGTAATGACAAGTCATAAAATAAAGTGAGACATTTACCTCTTTCAACTTTGACAATGCACATCAGTGTTTATGAGATTTCTGTTCTTCTATATATTGAAATGTTGTCAGAATAATGCTGGTTACACAAATGATTCTTCTTCAAATAGTGACATGAAGATGGGTTACATGAGGTTAAACTTAAGGAGACCCTGGAATTCTCTTTAAATTATTTTTTATTATTCTGATGACAGCGATGCCCTTAAAGTTAATTACAGTCTGCAATCTGCTTCCTAGCCAAACGGTGAGGTGTCATAACTGACACTGAACCTGAGAAACAGACACCGGGTTCTTCATGCACCTCTGCTTCTACAGTAACATCATTTATGGTTTTAAATCAGCAATGTTCCAAAATACATCATCTAGATGGATCTGTGGTCATTTCATTTTAAGTCATTTGGCAATCTAACCAATAAACACACCCACTTTGTATTTTTTCAGCAGTAACGTTTAGACAGCATGAACTCAAGCTATGGTTAGCTAGCTAACTAATACTTAAGCCCAATTCATTGTTTGGCATTGATTGCTTTATGCTGATATTTTAATTCTATTTTGCACACATAAAAAAAAAAACTGAAGGTTAACACAACTGGAGTCAAGACATGTTAGAAACACCCTCCATATCGTAAAAAACGATTGAAACAGTTCTGAAAAGACAACACTCTGAAATAAGACATGTTGGGATATTAGTGCTTTATTACCTAATCTGTAAGTAACATTATACAATGTAAAATTCATCATCAATCATTACATTTTTTGCCCCTTGTTTAAAACAAAGACATGATTCTGGACCCCGCTTTATGGGTTCTGGAGGAAGTTCTGTTCTGTTCTGGTTATGACCCTAATAAAAGAACATTTTCTCCCAGAGAGGTTCTCCATGAAAGGGTTTTATTACTGAATTTCCCCCTGGGGATTAATAAAGTATTTCTGACCTCTCATAGGGGAACCTTACACCTTGAGAACCTTACATAAATGGTTGTTTAGGTTTAACTCTACAGAAAATGTTCATTGTTAAACCCTCCAAAATGCTTCCATTTTGGACTTTTAGTGTTTTCTTAAGAGAAGGACAAAACTTTAATGTCAGGATAGCTTCACTAGGATGGGACAAAATATCTACACAGTGATAAATTGGTGTTCATGACACGTGTGATACACCTGTTAAATAACTGGTGCCAAAATATTGTGACTAAATTTAAAAGAAATATATCACCATGAACAGATTCTTAAGTTGGCACCTATCACTTTAATTAGGGTGACGTGAATGGAAGTTAATTGGCCAATGAAGAAGAGGCAAGCAGGGAAAAGAAGGTAAGAGATGAATCATTAGAAAAACGGGAAACATACAATGTCAGTGAATAAGTTCATGATTCCTACACTTTAACTTTTAAGGGGCATTTTATATTCTTCTGCTCATCATAAATTGTCATGTGTCAAACATATGATTGTCTTGCAATATTTCAATGATCACAGAATCCTTGTATCATGATAGATCACTTCAAAGAAGTGTGATGAGTAAGCACTGACAGGATTTTAAATGTATTTTAAACAATGTTTCATCAACTTTTGAACTGATAGAGAACATATTAACAATTAAATTGGTCATCTAGTAATTGCTTAAGTAATTTATCAACTAACGAGTATAGGATTGCTCGTAGCAGCTTCCGTCAATTCTCTATCTTGCTAAAATGGGTATTTATTTGCTGGCCTTCAAACTGTGTTAAAATATGAATATGGTAATTAGTTTGTGATTTGAAATATCTAATCATCTGCTGTTCATGCCAGTAGTGATCTTACAGTTTTGTAGTTCCTGCTGTTAACAACAAGTATAGGGTCTGAGTGTTTGTGTGCGCTCAGTTAAACGGCCCTTTTACTGGCTGTGACACACAAACACACACACAAACACACACACACAGACAGACACAGGTATGCCATTATGGATGACAGTCGTCTGGTGCTATGAGGGGAATGCAGCTCTTCTTCTCTCACCAGGATGTGATGTCTGAAATGAAGCACTCTTACAATCTTTAATTATCTTGGACTGAATCACTTGTGTTCTGTTGTCTTTCACTCTATTGTCTCCTCGTTTGTCTCTAAACACACCACTTTCTTTCACTCGTCCTGACCGAGTCACCTCTGGCCTGCCAATGACAGTTAGTCAATAAACTTCTGAAACATCCGGCAGGAGGAAAGAAAGAAGAAAGACGTTAAAGGTGTACCAGAAATAGTACTGCTGTATTCTTCAAAAGTTCTGTTTTGAAACTGCTGAGTCACTTTGAAGTGCAAGCGCTGTATACAAAAAAAAGAGGGAAAAAAGGCTTTTATAAGTGTGTGAAAATAGAGCACAACTTATTTATCAAAGCTTAACATTGTCCAAAGCTGTAATGCTTAAGTGAATGAGTGAATGAATAAGTGAACATTTTAGCTTTAATAGGACAGAAAAAAAAAAACAATTGTGTGCAAAAAGAAGTTAGAGGAAAGGGCAGGGCGAGGAATCAACTGCTCAGACGACAGTGTCAGTCAAAGAGCAAGTCACAGGGGAAAGTGTTTGAGCTGTGACATCAATGATATTCATCGCATCAAAAGCATACAAGAAAGAGCAGAACCAGTTTGGCTGTCTGACTGCCTCTGGCTGTTAAAGCGCTCACAGTCAAGAGAGAAATAAAAACAATCAGCCTGTGTATGCCTTGTAAAACAGCTGATTACCAGATCATTATTCCAATTCTGCCAATAAGCATGGCCGTGAATCAAAAGATGTACTAGTCAGCAAATATGCCAGCTAGTGATTAACCCGATGATTCACTCAGTGTGTGATCAGCAATGACAGACACAGAGAACGGTGGGTGCTAGGACCCCTGCTGTGCCAGCGCAGTGGCTCATGGAGTTACGGCGGCTACATTTTTGATGCAGTGCCGTTGTCAATCTGAACACACTCCTCTTAGCTTTGCAGGAAATCTTTCAAGTCAGTGAGTCCATGCCTTTCATGGTGAGTTCTAGTGCCTGAGTTCAGAATCAGGGGCAGCGTAAGACTCTGGCTGTATGAGGCGGGCAAGAGTATGGAGTAATGAAAAAGGCACCAACACCCAGAAGGTCATGATGCATTCATGGTGGAAAAGTTTCAGAGACTTCAAAATAGTTTATTTAGGGTTGTTTGAGATGAACTGGAAAGTGGATGTGAACAGACTGCAGCAGCAGCAAGGGGTTGGAACAAAAAACTGGAGTGGTTTGATCATGAAATGTCTTACCTCACAAATGTAAAAAAAAAAACAATTTCTGCCTTATTCTGTTTATTCTTAGTCGGGACATTATCCTTCTATTTTGAGGCCTTTTCAAGTATTAGTCCTTGCCTTGTGTTTGAAAATGATATAATAGGATATCAAACTAAAACATTTCTAAGGACATGCAATGCAAGGTGAAGGTGTAGTTTTAGATTAAGAAAAAGAAAAGAAAAAGAAAAGAAAATACTGTGTTTTCTCAGGCTAATGGGGTTTTAAATCAAATAAATCCCAACCTAATCCTTCAATCTGATTTTCGCCTTTCTATAAAGTCATTAAGCGCTTAATTTTGATCTTCTCCCATCCTGGCAGGAGCGTAAAAAAAAACACGACTGAACAAGTGAAACTGCGAGCTAATGATTAAGAGGACCTGGCAAGCTCATAGGGGTTTAGAGAAGGGAGGGATTACCGTTTTATTTTACCTTATTTCACCAGTAAAACTCAAAACACATCCACACACCCACGCTTCTCACAACTGAGAAGCCCTACAGGTCACACGTGACAAAGGTGTAGTAGATGTTTCGTTATCCTCAGTGGGTGTGTGTTTTGCCTGTTTGGGTCACACCTGTCTGACGGGCGGTGCCAGCGGCGGGAAGGATGTCACTCACTCTCTCCCTCTCGCAGCTCAGGTATTTCCCTTCAGTCTGTAAGGTGAATGACTATGGCTGAGCGGTTAGTGCACCATGGCCGGTCAAAGGAATTACAAAGGCTGACCTGAGATGGGGAATGCACGAGGTTATGTGTAAAAAAAAAAAAAGTCCTGAGATAAACTGCTCAGCTGTTTAAGCCACAGAGGAGGAATTGGAAAGCTGCTTTTACACAAAGTCTGGAGGAGAGGAACTGTCCCGCGAGACTTGTTGCCATTTCTAAAGTTTCAGTGTGTTCAGTGTTTTGAGCTCCCGACATGGCCCTGTCCCAGATACAATGCCTGGACGATAACAACGTGAACCTGCGGACGCACGAGTCTAAACCGGAGTTCCTGTACTGTGAAGACCAGCGGGTCGCTCTGGAAGCTCTCCTCCGGAATGGTCGCGACGCGTTTTTTAAGTGCTTGGAGGCTCGCGGCCTGCGGGGTTTCCTGTCAGACCCGGAGCTGGAAACGCTCGTCGGGACGGTGGAGCCGTACGACCCGGACTCGGAGATCTTCCCGGAGAATGCCGAGGAGGACGAGCCAGCGCTGTCGCTGCACTACTGGCCCGAGTTGTCAGACATGTCCATTCCGCAGATGGACATGGGCTGGCCGGACTCTGAATCTTACCGGGGTGTCACGCGCACCACGGTGTATTCGCAGCCACCGCTGGAAGGTCAGGCACACATCAAAGAGGTTGTCAGGAAAATGATTGCGCAGGCGCAAAAGGTACGTTGGGCTCACTTCAAATTGATGTCGTGTTTATTTTCGTGGAAAATGTATAAAAATTTCGTGTATATATATACAACATTTCATCTACAATTGCTTGAATTAAGTGTTTTGTTTTGTGACAGAGGGGCAGATATTATAAGATTAGTCTTCTTTCTGCTCCTTTTCATTCAAAATTTGAGATTTTATGTTTGTTTGTTTTTCTTAACTTTATTGCTTGTTTGAATAAAATTTTTAAAAAATTACAAATACAAACAATACAAGATTCACAGACACATTGAAAATAAATGCAAGTATGAAATAGGCCTACAAAATTTTGGAAAGCCTTTGGTGGAATGGTAGGCCAAAGTTATTTTTTATATCCTCCCTGTCATTCACCTGTTGCTTGTGCATTGATATGCTAATTAAAAAAAAAAAAGACAGGTTTCTTAAATGGTTCAAGGCCGCCTGAATGTCAAGTATTCAGACCCTTGGTTTCTCTTTTAATTTCCCTGCTGTCACCCTTCATAGGATTCACTCAAACACTGACAGGCCACATCTCTCTCACACAACAAGGTCAGAGTACACACTGCTAGCCGACACAGATGATCAAGAGTAAAGTGCAACTTGATTAAGCGGCTTTATCAAGGAAGAGAACCGCTGTAAACTGTGCCTGCAACATGAGAGAGAGAGTGTGTGTGTGTGTGTGTGTGTGTGTGTGTGTGTGTGTGTGTGTGTGTGTGTGTGTTGGGAACATTTGCATGAGTGTACATTATTGCCATGGTGGCATTTCCCTCTGTTTATGCAGGTGACTCATCTGAAGGTGTCATTTTATGACAAGTTTTATAGCTTCGGATGTGTTATTTGACTGGAAAGTCCTGTCGGCATTTTGAGCTTGCAACAGGAAAATTACAATAACAGTGGGTGATAAAAAGCTGGGAGAACATGCATAACTTCCCATGATGTATAGATGTATATTTTTTTTTTTTACAGGAAAACATGTTTGATCATAATTCACTAAAACCTGTGGAGCAACTTAAATCTTATTTGTTTCGTTAAACCCTGAAACAATGTGTCACGCTTTCAAGTATACTCACAGGGACATAAACCTGAGGCGTGTTCCCGCTGCATTTTAATAAAGTCTGTGTATGTTTTAACGCATTCAAATTTATGCTTTGTATGTGTGCCTTTGTGCATGAGTGTACGCGTTTCCTGTGCCCTGTATGTGAAGTACCTTTTTACATGTTTCTATTCAGGTAATTGCAGTGGTGATGGATGTCTTTACTGATGTCGACATCTTCCGAGATTTGCTAGATGCTGGTTTTAAGAGAAGGGTTTCTGTCTACATCCTGTTGGAACGTTCATCTCTACCTCATTTCCTGTCAATGTGTCGGAGGGCTAACATGCATGCCGGACACCTCAAGGTGAGCTTTGAGCATTTGATCAATTTGCAAAGTAGTCAGGTATCAAAAAGCAAGGTTTAATCCAGCTGTATGCATCCTGTGAGTCGGAATGTGCAACGCTAAAGTATGTCTGTGGAAATTTTCTTTAAAGCTTCATAATATTCTCTTGCAAAATGGGATAAATTGAGACCTGAGGTTTGAGCTTTTAAACAATTCCTTTTTTTTTTTTTGCAGAATTGATTACTAATGCTTCATTTGAAAAATAAAGTAGAAAGTACCTTTTTGAAAGACCCAAGTCAGGAGCCTTTCATCATGCATGGATAAGTGATGTCACATGCTGTCTCACTTTAGTCTCTTTCAAACACACCCAATACACACCCACGCACAACCCTAAAACCCTTTCCAGCTGGCACTGTACCACAGATGAATCTTTTCCCTCGTTGTGTCTACCTTCAGTGTTTTATTCCATAATTGGCAGGTTACCTAAAAAGACATCAGTTATAAAACCTCCTTTGGTCATGTAGAGGCATGTGACTGAGTTTCACGGAAATGCAATCTACGGTAAATGATTTCCTTGGAAGGGAAATCTTGCGACCAAGCTGCCAAACACGATAATTTCAGATTATAATCTAACACTCAGTCCCGTCGTGATCACAACAGTTTCCACAAATTCAACTCATTATAATGCACTCTGTGGAAGCTACAATCACTGCAACGTTCTCAACAATTTGACAAATCCTCATATTTCCTTCACTATGTTGTATGTCACGTCATAAAAGTTTGTCTTTGATATTTCAGATACTGTCTCCCTTAGTTGGTGATGTTGCGTAAAACATTGGCGGGCACAATTTCCCGTTCTACAATATATCTTTGGGATTCTAGAAGCAGACAACTACACTGGTTTAACAAGAGCTCTGGTGTGATTGTTTCTTTCCATGAGCTTCTAACTCAGCCTCAGACTACATTGGGTTCTTACAGACAGACATAGCAGATCCATAATAATACGTTCAATACTTAGCGTGTTGTTGTTCTTGTGATAACCCATCCACTCACTGTGTTGTAAATTGTTTGCCGTTGGCCGTTCCCCAAACTTTCCCTCCAACCAGAGGCTTTGTCATTAATGTGTGTGTCATTAATGTGCGTGTCATTAATTAAGCACTGAGACGGTAACTCCCTTGTCTCTTATTAATGGTTTTACTCTGGAAGAACATTGTATGTAGTAAGGTGAAGATACTCAGGGAGCAGTAGGAATGTGCATTCAACATCCCATAGCTATTTACTGTAGTTTTATTTTAGTGTTTGCAAATTTATTTTGGCTCCTATTTAGTCAAAATGATTATTCATTTTTCTGCAGTTAAAGAAAACAATGCATTTACTTTAAGATTCTGTGCATTAGCTTTTTCCCCTAAGAAGATCCCTCATAATCCAGCAGAAGAAGCAGTGTTGGACTTTCTTTTTTTCTTTTCTTTCTTTTTTTTTTATAAAGGATGCAAATGCTTTGTTAAAAACCAATAATGTTCAGTGATATTTACTGTTGAGGTATAGAATGGTTTAGTTAATCATCTGGTATGCAAATGAAGATGCAGAAAGCTGTTTTAAGAGATGGACAGATGAAATAGAGCATACATATATATATATATATATATATATATATATATATATAAAAAAAAACAGGCGAATACACAATCACTCGCCTCTTGTAGATTTTATGCCTTGGAGGGGCTGGAGTGAAACTGAAAGGTAGGAGCAGCTTGACAGACTCTCAGTACCATCTGTATCTAGATTATATGCAAAGCGGCAGAAAATGTCACAATCTCATGTGGCAGTTTGTGCTTTGTAAACACAGACATATGACTGACACACATACGGGATGACTAAGGGAATGTTTTAGCTCAACTGAAAGGCTGTTTTTGTTCCAGCCTGGTGTATTCACATGACAACTGCTTGCTTTTTTAAATATCTGGCATTTTGTTGTTTTTGCTCAGTTTTCTGTCTTCTGGTCCCAAATCCAAGTGCAAATCTGCCTATAGGATAGAAGTCAAGCAGTGCAGTTAGCCACAAGTTGTCTTTGATTCTGTCAATTATTTGATAGCTGAATGGCAATGTGTTTACAAAAATGGGAATGAGTTTCAGCTTCCCCTAAACCGTTTCCTTGTTTGTACAATATGAACCTAGTGTGTGTCAGTCTGGTTCTGTCAGGCATGGTCTACCTGAAAAGTGTTGCCCAAATGCATATAAAGCCATTTTTAATTGAACCCAAAGTGACACACAATTCTGCTAAAGGAAATTATCCTTGAACATCAATTTTAACATAAGCCCATCACTGTGGTTATCATGCACTATCCAAGAAAATTGATAGCCTGGGGGAGCATCTGTAAAAGTGGCATTTGTAACCAGGAACAGTGACAAGCAAGTGAACGAAGGTCTCCCAAAGTCTGTCGGGTAGATGAGCCTGGGCTGCAGAATAAGAGGATGACAGGCGGGAAGACAGGTGTGACAGTTTGAATTTTTACTGTTAGTGACAAGAGGGAGTAGGTAGGTGGAGGGAGACAAGATGGGAGGAGTTGCAGATGAGCTGCGAGATAAGTGCGTAGGCATAAAGATGACAGATTTTCCTTCACCTCAGTTCTCTTGGGGGATTTCTCCACAGTGCCTCAGCTTGTTCGGTGGTTGAATGTTCAGATAAAATTCAGCTCAAGTATGCACCATCCACAGTTTAGAGCGGCACACAGAAATGCAGTTTGCTGATTTTATCTAACCAGTTAGCCAAAGGAATGTACTGAGAGACAGAGAAAGTTAAGGGTGGGACCGGAAGGCGGAAGGAAAACAAGTGTTTCTACTGTGAGACAAGCCACGCCAGGAATAATCTCCTGCATCTCGACAACTGGTTAAACCATTTTCTGGCTGTATCTAAATTTACCACTTTACTTTTTGCAATTTTATCAAAGGAGCTGTGAGGCTCTTTCATCCTGTGTTGTAATTGTAGTCCCCTTTTAAACAAGCTTAAATCCTTGTGTTGTAAAGATCTTAGATCTTGCCCATGCTTGCATTAGTTTTATGTTAGGGATTTGAAGAAAGACACTTGACTTCTTTTAATATTTTCCTTTTAACAATGCGGTATGTGCAGTAATGAGTATAAGTAGTTTTTTAATATGAAAGATAAGTAACTGTGATGTAACAGTAAAACACATTGGACCTTTGTTAAATACCTTTTATGATTTATATGAGTTGAAACCAGTATTGTATCAAAGTTCAAAGTTCTAGTATTATGACAACCCAAGTCTTCACTACACTCATCTGTTGCCACTAAGAGAAGCAAGCCAAATTGGGATGCAGTGTTTTTTTTATTAAGCACAGATAATGATGATGGCTGTCCAAAAAGAAATAAGAGGTGAAAAACGAGAAGAGAGTCAGAATTGGAGATCTGAAAAACACTTAATAGGGACAATGATTAGCCTTGGGTACCTTTGTTAGGTGTAATCTCTTATCAGAAACGTGGTTACACTCTTTTATTATTATAACATCATAAACTCTATCACCCTTTTATTATCATGAATGTAAGTTAAATGTTAGCACTTCTATAAAGTCACACCTATTTTGCCTGTCTAGGTGACATCATTTGAATTAGCCTGATGCAAATAAATAGTCACCTTTCCGGTTTGAACTAAACAACAAACAGTCCTATTTTTTCTGCTCTGCATTGAAACACACATCTCAAGTGGAGTGAGGGTAGACCCTGGGGTACACCTTATTTTATTCTATGTAAAGCAAAGAGGTTTTTTTTTTTTTTTTTACCAGCAGGAGCAAAACAGATCATTTACATCTACTAAGATAATATAACAGCAATGATATCAGACAAGTTAAGACAAGACAGAGATTAAATCAGAATCCAGTGATAAACATTATGTTGGTTTGGCAAGATGTAATTACTGCACTTAAATTGGATGTGGTATGTATAATAACTCAGCTGTCTTAAAAACGTGAAGCAATATGCAGCTCAAAGGGGGGCTAATGGTATATAACTGCTAGAACTGTCTGTTTGTGGCTAAAGGGTTTTTATTAAGAATTATACATATTGCTAGTAAGCAGTTCTTAAAGACTTTTTTTAAATGTTATCATTAGGATGAGCGCATGAAAAACTTAATTGTGGTTAAAGAAATTTGACTTCAGGTCATGCCTAGAAACTGTCTTGTGTCCTTACAGAAGTGAATGGTACTGGTAAAACACACACTACACAGGTAGTTAGGTATTTTGTTGTTTTACATGCTTGAGACTAGATGCTATGAATATTTGTTGGGATTGTAATGTTTTGCTGATATGTCATTTTTTTTTAGCTGAAAACACGGTGAAGCTGTTGTCAATCATTGTTGCACAATCTTGTATAGAGGGTCACAAATGATAAAATGAGGTTTTGGAAAGGTTTAATATCTAACTTTGTCTCTGTTACAGCACCTCCGTGTACGCTGCACAGATGGAGCAGAGTTCTACTCTCGGTCCTCTACGAAGGTTAGAGGGCAAATGGGACACAGATTCATGTTCGTTGATGGAGACAAAGCCTTGTCTGGGTCGTACAGGTCAGTGCACTTTCCTTTATATGTGTGTGAGTGTTTTGTTGGTGAGTGTGAGAAAGAGATAAAGAGAGTGTCTGGGAAAGAAACAGATAATCTGTGTGTGCTCCACCTTTCTTTGATGTGAATAAAGAATGCACGGTGTCTTCTAGTGTTCAGTTGCATTCTCTACACACAAGACTAACAGGTTATTGTAAATGTATCCATCGACAAGAGATATGAACACATATCTGTACACAGTGTACAATAAAACACATTTACTTTTGACTCTGTTCTTATAGATGAATACCTGTTTATTTACCATGGGGCCATTTTTAGGTATGTAGATGACTAGTAGGTTCAAGCAGTTTTAAAATAGCTTGAGTTGATATCTTCAGCTGATGGCGACGACATGGTTTGTCAGCAGCAATATAATCCTTTGGGGCAATTACAGGAGAGCTTGTTTTTGCAACTGACAGGCTCAGTTTGTTATTTAAAGTCTTTAAAACCATCTGTACAGTATTTGATCGGAAAGTAGATTTTAATTCATGAGGGAGTGCAGTGCTTTTCTTCTCAGTGCGCAAACGCTTCATGCAAGCGCTCCCTAACGCACAGCCAGTGCTTTACTGCCTGGAAAAAACGCTAGGTGGACATGAGGCCTTACTCTCCACTCTATATTTCAGTACGACTCTGGTCAAACATAGAGATCCTTTCTGTGATGTCACACTCTTTAAAAAAAAAAAATCTGTTGTACAGTTTCATGTACAACATAATCCGTGCCTGTCAGTCGCATAAAAAAAGCACCTTCAATGGACTTTACTTGCTTTTCTGTAGTCGCCCCAAAGGATTACATTGTAGCCTGCTGGCTGAAGCATTCTAATGAAGCATTTATTAACACACAATAACACGTAAACATAGAATAGTTTATCTGTTTATTTAGTTAACTTGTATTTTTAGTAAAGAGGTGTTTGTTCTGTAATGCCCTGATGTACTTAAGTTATCTTTCCTTGTATTTTCTGTGTTTTCTGTAGATTCACTTGGATGTCATCACGGCTTGACAAAAACCTTGTCACTGTGATTACAGGCCAGGCAGTGGAAGCCTTTGATAGACTCTATCGCATCCTCTACTCGACCTCCAGCTTCGTCAACCTCCAGCAGGTTGCTACAGAACCTGAACCTGAACCTGAACCCATCCCACAGCCGGTCGCAGCGCCCCTTCCTTCTGCTGCTCTTGCCAGGAAACTGCACAACCCAAAATATGCCCTTGTTAACCTCGGCAACCCTGCTCGCAACAACAGCCCCCAAGAAGCCCCAAAAACAGAAAACTCCAAGGGCCCAGAGGAAATAAACCAGAAGGGACGGAGGAAGTCGATTAAAGAAGCTCCTCCTCTCCACCCTGGACTTGCCAATCTGGAGAAAGTATGCATGATGGCATACCTGCCAACCTGGCCAGATCCTGATCCCCCCAAAGACGTAATTGGGTACATTAACATTCGGGATTCCAGAAAACCAACTCAGGTCCATCTCCAGAGATCTGAAATGTTTGAAACCAGCCAAGCGATTAGGTTCAGTAGTCCATTCAGCGTGCCAAAAGAAAAGCTTCCAGAGGTTGCCACGCTCCGACAGCTTCCTGGTAAACCTGAGGAGATGAATAAACTCCAACCAGCACAAGATATAACAAAAGCTAAGGAGTCGCAGGTGGACAGAGCTTCAGTCAATGCAGGGCCTGTTGAAGCCAAAAGTAAAGCAGAGACAGCTAAGCAGAACTCACCTGCATCTGGACCAAAGTGTGAATCTAACAAAGACAAAACAAACAATTTTAACATTGAGAAGAAACTTGGAACAAACACATCCAATAACCAAAAAGTAGTACAAAACACTGAACCTCAACGTAATGCACACACACCTCTCCAATCAAGTGCTGAAATATCCAGTTTTATCCCTGGGAGGCCCACAAACACCACTACAACTGTTGTCAACAAAAGTACTGAACCTGACTCCCTCCCTGGATCCATCACTAAAACAGAAACACAGAGTTCACAGGTGACCAGCACACAAACCTTACACACAGGCTCAAACAAAGAACAACATACACAAAAACAGAATGCACAGCCACATTCAGCGTCACACACACAGGCTGTTCACATACAGTCACAAAACTCCTCTGCAATACCTCCTAACAACCGGACTGCCACTGCCAACAGACACGTTATCTCGTCTTCTGTCTCAACCCTTTCTGAAAGTAGTGACCATACCTCTTCTTCTGTTCCTCCTCTCACCTCTTCTTCTGCAACTCCTACTCTGCCCATCCTTTCTTCCTCAGAAGCCTCACCCTTGACCCCAACCTCAGCTCCTCCCATCCCTAAACCTCGGACTATCCAGCTGCTCATAAAAGATGGCGTCACCAGTGATGGCAAGAAGCTGCTTGATGGCAGCATTGCAAAGAAGCCCGAGTCCAGCACAGGGTCGCTAGTGGTCCAAAATGAGTCTGCTATAGGAACTGAGTTGGAAACTACTCTAGAGAAACAACCGGAGATTGTCCCAGATTTACAGAATATGGGAAGCATTACAGGAACACAAAGAGATGCAGAGAGCGCAGTCAAAATTAAAGACGATCCTCAGCAAAAAGAGGGCGGGACTTCCAGAAAGAATGAGAAATCAGACGCAGGAACCACCCTGGTGCTTAAGCCAGAGAATTTAACTACCGAGGAAACAAAGGTTGAAATTGTGAATGCTCAAGAAATAGTTCCAAACTTGCCTGAACTCAAAAGTTTGACAACAGTAGATGGCAAATTAACCCGGCAAATAGACAAAGAAGTTGTAGAGACCAAAGCTTTAGAGAAAGCAGCAACCTGCCCTGAGTTAGCTGAAGCCCCAAATAAAAATGGTGAAAATGTAACAGATTGCAAAACAAATAGTGAAAAAGCACCTGAACTTCAGAAAATATCGGAGAGTGAGTCGGCGCCGCAGGATACAGGTGTACTTGAAACTGTAGACTCAACAAACACAACACATAACACACATAGCACCTCTCAAGGAGAAACTCCTAAAACACTTAAAGGCAAACACACGCCCTTACAGCTGCCCGACACACACACGCCAGACCTGCGCTCACTGACACCTGATGGGGATTACGATGGCTCAAAGCTCTTGCACGCACTCCAACTCCAGACGGAATTCATTCGCGCACACCCACCCCGGACTCGCGTTCGAACACACCAGACTTCCGAACGCCTACCCCAGAAGTTAGCGACGGTTATGTTTCTGCGATAGACTCCAATGTCTCCACCACCTCAGAGGATTACTATGACTGTGTTGGCTTTCCTTGTCTACTCGAGCCGGATTTTGACCAAGCAGCAAATCCCAACCACAGTATGGCTGAGGATCATGCTAGCTCCGCACACACACATTCTCCCAATGCGACAAACAGTAACAGAAAACATAAAACCAAAAGTAGTGAAACAAAGAGTTTATCCAGGACTGCTAAAGTCTCTTCTCCTTCTTCTTCTTCTTCTTCTTCTTCACTTGAGAAGGCAGTGAAAAAGGAGGGGGAAGAAAGTAAAGACGTTGAAAAGAAGAGAGGGGCGGAGGGAACAGAGGGAGACTCTCCTGGGAGAGAGAGGACAGGCAGCAAGGTGAAAGAGTCAAAAGGGACAGTAGAGAAAAACAAGGAGGCCCCAAGCCAAGCTCCTAAGAAACAGAAGGTGTTAAACCAATCAGCAGTAGAGAGGCCGGTCGATGGAGGAGGGACTCCAGGAACCAATGATGGAGTGGAGCCAAAGCGATTGTCCACAGGTGACTCTACACCAAAGACAGTTTGCACTGAGAGAGAGGCACCAGACAAAGAGAAGAAGCCATTAGGACCCAGCGTTGTGGCGAGGAGAGAAAAGCCCCAGACCACCAAAGAGACTGAGGGCAAGAAGGTATGATAAGGAGGGCGGCCGATGTCAACTCAATCATTCTCATCCTCAAACAAACATGTTTTTTTTTTAATAAACGCCACCATGCAGGTTAATCTAACTAAAATACTTTTTGTACTTTTTAATTTCCTAACCACTTCACAGTATTCTGTTCAGCCTACACCGGTGGCATGAAGGGTAAGCACAGTTTATCAACTTTTTGAGGGGATGTGCAGCTCATCTTAACATCTATATTTCATGAAATGTGATTGAGGAGGTTAAACTGACTTAAATGCAGAGAACAGGGGTTTTCTGTCCTAGTGGTGTTTCTTTGATTAACTGTTGTAGTCAGAGAGTTTCATTATCCTACATCCGAATACAACTGCTGCCAGTAACATTTTAAAAATATAGAGAATTAACTGAGCATCAAGTGGTAAGTAGTTACTCTGTTTTTCCAATCGTCCTTCACCTTGGGCAGTAATAACATGACAAGTTACTTTAATAATACTAGTATTACCTGTGGACCTCTAGTAATTTATAACAATTCTGGAGCTTTTCAGTGATCTTAATTCCATGCAATTCTCTTGTGTCTCTTATTTGGAAAGTCAAAATCTATTGCAAATTATTGGAGGTCATTTGATAATATTAGTCTTGTGCAAATAACATCTTATTGATTTTCATGTCTTCTTTAAAAGTGTTTTTTTCTTTGTTTTATATGTGCATATTAGACATGGTAGTATAGAGGCTTCACTGGCTGTGACAGAAGGAAGATGGCACGGTATTGTGGGTGGAAAATCAGTTATTTTTTCTTTAGCTTGTAAGTCATTTAATTAGTAAGTAATGACAAGATCCACAGAGCCTTGACATCATCTCAAACGTTTCTTATCTATCAGTTAATTTGGGTGGAATTCTTCTTTATCCCATGAACATGTGGCACATCAAACTCAGGCCTAGAGGGTCAACTTCTTATTCCTTTGGCGACAGCTTTAGTTTTAAAAAGTCTGAGATCCAAGCTTTGAGAAACAGGATGCTGTTTTGGGAATAACAGTTACTTTTTCGCAGTGATGAGAAGAAAGATAAGGCCATGCATGTTTTAAATTGTTCTGTAGGCGATACACAGACTCAGCGTGAACCCACCACTAACAGCCGGCTAACTTAGCTTAGCACTAAGGCAGCAGAAGGAAAAGGTAGCCTGGTTTAAGGTCGTTAGATACTTTTTGCCTGGCTAGTCCACAGACTTCATTTGATTGTGTGTGTGTGTGTTTATGGGTCAAACTATTAAAATAATATGATTTAGGCAGAGCTGTTCTTGCCTATGTGTGTGCCCTGTTTTGGTTTCAGACATGAGTGGCATCAACTTTTTATTTAACTCCAAGGAAAACATGAAATCATTATTTTTTTTTCAAACCATGAAACGTGTCCATGAATGCCCCCTTTTTATTCACTCTAACGTCAAATCTGATTAACTGTGATAGCTTACATAATATGAGTGAAGAGCTCAACTCATGATTATCATTTCAATCAGATGTTTTCATCATCCTGAAGTGCATAAATAGTCATTCACTTTTGAGTCATACTTGAGTTTTCTTTCATTTATCAACACAAATGACTTCAGCATGCTGAACAGCAAATCAAAAATCAAATGTGCCAAGTTTCAGCTGCTGACGTCATGACACCTCACGCACATGGTCTCTGATTGTTTGTCACAAGGTCCGTTTTTCGTTTGTCTCGTTGGTAATTCTACTCAGAAAAACAATGAAGGAACATTCAAGATGGATTTTTATTATCATGAAAATGCTGTTGAATAAATCGTGAAGTGCATGTTGATATTATTTTGATCAAATAAATATCAAGACATGGAGGAAACAGAATCATTTAACTTCAGCAAAACTTTTTTTTTTAATGTAAGAGCAGGTATGCTCATTGTAAAATGTGTTCCTTTATTTGTCAATGAGTATATATTAACAATCAATCAATCAATCAATCAATCAATCAATCAATCAATCAATCAAGCAATCTAGCATCAAATTGTGGTATCTGTGTTTAAATATGTTTCATGGTGTATAATATCTTGTGTATTCTTGTGCTGTAATGTCTGTCCTCGTGTGTCTCAGACAGTCGAGTGTGCTGCACCAGCCGAGCGTCACTAACTTTAAACACACGACACTCGTTCATTATTGAACAAGGAGACTGTTGGTGGATTAAAGTGACATTCTTTTAATGAAGTGCCCTCTCCCGTCGACACCGACTCAATATTAATGAATGGATTAAAGATTGATAGCCTCACATCTATTGGCGTGGTTTGACTCGCCTACCGTCTGCCTGAGTCTGCGCTTTATTTTATCTCACGCCCGTCTGATGGAGTCAGTGAGGTGGTGTTTTAATTCAGCTCTGTCATGTAATATTGATAAGAGAGACAAAAGAGCAGGTCACACTAAAAGTACCTCACAAAGCTTTTATGGCACTTGGTCTTTGTGAGTGTGAAAGTTTGAAACTGCTCTGTAGATAAGTTGCAAGAAGACTGATGGAATATGATATGGGAGCTTTGTGTGAGCTTTAGTTTTACCACAAACCCTCTTCACATGTCTTGATACTACTTTATGCATTTCTTCTGATGCAGGTCTCTTCTCCCCCTCTCTTCTCTTTTCCCCTAGCTTGTGAATACATCTTCCAAATCTCCAGAGGAACAGCAGCCAGACAACGGAGCTTCCTCCCCTTCCCGAACAACCAGATCCCCTCAACCCCTCTCGGGCCAGTATCTGGGGCCTCATCCTTTGGGAAGCTCTCTGCAGAACAAGGCAGAAAGCATGTTGCAGCATGGTAGTTTTCAAGTCTTGGATAACTCTCCTAATAAGTCACCGACGAGACCTGCTGCTGCTGCTGAGCAAAGGCACACCGAAGTCTCCCGCAGCCAGCAGAGCCTACTTTCTCCACAGCCTTTGGCAGACGGGCAGAAACCTCAGTCGTCTCTTCTGCGCACACACTCAAACTCAAACTCACAGCCGCAGCTCAGTCCTCCTTCCCAGAACCAGGCACTTTCAGCAAACCACAAGGTGGATGGACGGGGTCCATTTAGCTTGACTTTCAGCAAGCTGTACAGCCTCAAGGATCTTAAGGACACGATGAGCAATCTGCCAATACAGAGCAAGAGCAGCACTCCAATACAGGGACACAAGAGCACAAGCTAGTTTGATTGCATCAGTCCATCTCGGCATCAATTTTTCATGTCATTGCAATACATTAAGCTAAGGAAATGGGGAATTGAGCATAAAATTGCTGTTAAAATTATATAATCCTCAGTATCCAGGAAATGAACTGTAAAAAAATGCTCTTTAAATATCTTCTCTTCTGCTCACACAGCAGACTTTTCACCTTAGGGTTACCTCTTGCAGAGGTTTTAGTAAAGCTTAATCTAGCCTCCTCTCTTGTCTGTCTCATTAGTTTACCTTTAAGATTTTTTTTTTTCAGATGAGAGATGGGGCCTTTGTCCATTAACAGTGTTTTTGTGTGCGCGCATGATGTGTGTGTGTTGGCAGCATCCACAACCTTTATTTCTGCGTGCTTTTCACCGGCGCTTTCTGTCGCTAGGTTACTGGAGTTGACTCACTGCACTCCAGCTTCCCTCAGTAGTGACCCTAAGGTTTGTTTTACATTGCTCTGGATGCTAAATATTTGTTCTTATTTAAGTGGCATTGACTAGTGTTCCAAGTTTAACTATTTTCAACTGAGAGCAAAAAGGGTGTTTTTGTGGATAGGACACTGAGCGCTGAAAACACTGAACTGCATCCGCTTTGTTTAGAAAATGGGCTGAGCCAATGCAAAAAAAAATGGAATTGGTTGATGTTATTCATATTACTGCTTTAGAAATTTGTGCTTTTTTTTAATTAAGATTTACTTTTGGGCTTTTTATGCCTTTATTTTAGAGATTGGACTGGGATAGAAACTGAGGCTGGCCACTTTCAAGGATTTAAACCTCTATACATGGGACATGCGCACTAACCACTAGGCTACCGGCCCACCAGATTCTTCAATTTTTTTATAATGTAACTGCCTTCAGGAGGTTATGACCTCTGGTGCTAATGTCCTAGACATTTGGATTTGATCCAAAGCTGCCTCTAATGGAGAATTAAAGGGTTATACTCTGGTATTTCGTCTTTTTCAACCTTGCCCTAATGTATTCTATACCATACATCACATTCTCATACCTAAACCACAGAAAAGCTGGATCATCAATGATTCCCAAAACAATACACAGTATATGGCACATGTTGTAAAAACAGTTTTCAGTCTAAATAAGTCTTAAGCAACAATAAGTAGGTATTTGGTTTTTGTGCGCTTTGGCGCCCACTGAAGGTATCTGAGTGCAACTGCACTGTTGTAAGACACGGTGCTGTTACGCCTACCGCAACGAGCGTTTGTTTACAAGCAGATGGTGCGATGCCGGCAAAGACATTGTGTGAAGCCAAACGATGTCGACTGACAAGGTACTGTAATATTACTGGATTTTGCGCTAAGTGACTGTGCTAACGTCTTCAGCCTGTTGTTTGCTTGGGTTCGACGACTTTCTGCACCTGGTAAAGCTGCTAAACATGAGACCATGATGTCACAGATAACAATACCGCCTAACATTACATTGCACTCTGTTATGAATAATATCTACGGGGATGTACACTCTGCCTTCTGCTTGGTCACTCTCTAAATTATCTTCTTCCGTCACCGTCTACTCTTAGCCTCAGCCATCGTATCAAACAGCACAGAGGCGGGCTAATGGCTTCTTTTTAGCTGCAGGCGTGTGTGTGAACTACATGACCTCAGCCCCCTGCCACAGTTACTACTGTAAACAAGTGATCTGGCTGCGTGGCAGACATGGGTGGGACGCCATGTTTCCTTGTGAAATTTGGGATGCTATTAAATCGACGTTTGAAAAACAGAATTTCAAGGTGGAAAAGTTTAAGTTCTTGGTTCAGTTAAGGAACAAATTCTTTGGGAAAGATTTATGTTGTTTTTTACTTATGTAAGGTTTGTAAATTCTGTGATCTCTGTACAAAATGTAAAAAATGAATACAATTAAAAGTAACTCAACAATAAGGTTTGGTTAATTTGCAGATGGGAAACTGGTTATCTTGGTGAAATGGTTTGAATGTTTGAAAATATGTAACATTTAGCAAAGTATTAACGTTACAAATGTGATGTAACCAAAGTTACATCATAATAGTTTTCATAATGCAACACAGACTTTTACTCTTGTCTTTGTAAATGACTTTTGATTGTGATTTTTTTGAGTTGCCATCTTTCTATTGTTTCTCCCGATGGAAATCCAGTGTTGCTGCTTGTTGGCTTTCATTGGCCTGAACTAAATCCAAGGCACGTATATTCTGGATCAAGTTAAAAGAAAAGCCGTTTTTTTCTAGCTCAACAGTGTTAAACTTGTCTAACATGTCCAAGGGTTGGTGTCATGTGCTGTGGGCATTAAAAGAGTATTTAGCATGTTTGATGGCAGTTTTAGAGTCTGTGAACATTGAAATGTACACAAGCTGCATTAACAGTGATACTGTATGTGTCTCCTCCAGATTGGTGTTACAGATATTTACTGTCCTCTACGTTAACTTTACATTCTGTGAGCACAAAAGAATATAAAAGCTGTTGATGCAGCCTTTTATCTTGTGGGTTTATTTTACGTCCCCCAACCTCGTCGTACTGTATCCTTCTATTATGTGTTTTACATTTAAAACAGTCCGTTTATTGATTTATCGTTTGTTTACCCCAAATCCCATTTACATTCAAAATGCCTTTTTGTCTGGAAGACAAAGTCAGAGCCACTGTGCTTACACAAAACACGAGTTAACTGTGAAGATGAGCTCAATAAACACCGAGCACGACAGACTTATTATTCTGAAGACAAAAACACACGCCCTGCAGTTTATATCAACAGTATACAAGATGGTGCACTTGAGCTATTCTGAAAGAAGAGGAATGCGTTAAGAGCAATTATAGGGACAAATAATCTAATCTAAAAAAAAACAGCAATCTTTAATCTGGAAATTATAGGAGACTGGAATGTGTGCACTTGCTTTATTTCTAAACCCGCTTCATGTCCCTGCAGTGAATCCTACACAGCTGTTTGGCTCTGTAAATGCTCATATTCACTTTGTTTGGATGAGATTCCAAATCTCTGCCTAAGAGGTATTAAAATAAAAAGGCAAACTGGGATTGACTTGATTTTTTCCCCCTTATAAAATATAGATTATGAATCTTGGATGGCTGCTCCTACGAGCTGTGAAAGGCTGGCCTGCCTGCTGACTGAGATAGTCAAAGTTGACATCTACAGAGCAGTTGGAGCAAAGACGTGTTAAACATGATTTTTCTCAGCTCATGTCTTGCAGCTTCAGGTCTATCAAAGTGGTAACAGAGAGAAACAGGGTCCGAGGTAACTCTATACTCCCACAATGCCTCAGAGGGTTTGGAAGCTTGAGTCGTATTTCATAGCACGTTGCAGTTCTGCAAATATCAGCTGTAATCCATATCAGGCGCTTATGAGTTGTGAACAAATGTCCAATTGTAAATATTACATCCCTGATGATCCCAGGAGACGTTTGTTTATTGAAAAGTATCTAATATTCAGACATTGAGCACAAAATTACCCCTGAAATAGACGAGTATGTATGAGTTTCTGGACAATCTCCTGCAGTTGATTTTCATAATTGTCCGACGTTCACTTGCTTTTTCCACAGAACAATGACAACAGGGTCCCTAGCTTCAAGTGTGTCTGCTATGCTAGGATAAGCTAACTTCATATTTTTGGTACAAACATAAGAGGGGTATAAGTCTTGTCACCTAGTTCTTAGCAAGAATAAGTGAATAAGTGTGTTTCCAAAAAATGTCTATTTCTGTTCATTTTCAGAAATAAAATATGTCTGACAAGTAGTGTTTTTCTTTTTTTAAAGATTTATTTTTGGGTCTTTTTGTGCCTTTAACGGAGAGATAGGACAGTGGATAGAGATGGAAATCAGGGCGAGAGAGTAAGGAATGACATGTGGAAAAGGAGCCACAGGTGGGATTTGAACCTGGGCCACCTGCTTAGAGGGACATAGCCTCCATAAAAGGGGCGTGCGCACCAACCACTGTGCCACCAGTGCCCCGACAAATAGCATTTTGATATTAAGGAGGAAGCAATGTGACACGCCACCTTTAAAGAAACAAAAACCAGCAACACTTGTTTATAGATGGATGCCAGGAATCAGAATAAGTTATGCACATAGTAAACTGATTTTACTGTCTCTTCCTTAAGTGAGGGTAAAAATATTCATGTAGTCATATATAGACCTGATAAAATATGCTTTATGCTGGGTTTTCTGGGTCACACACCCAGATTTAGAGTGAGTCAGACACTTGTCAAATGCACACACACGCTCATATCACACGCTCAAATCACACAAGGAGCATGCCGTGGAGGACAAGCAGTGATTGAGATGCAGAAAGCCGGGAGATAGAGAAGGAGATGGAGAAGGAGAGAGAAACAGAAAATCCCTCCTTATCTGGAGTGACTGAGAAAAAATGTGGAGGAACAGAAAAACTGAATAAAGCCAGAGGCAGGGAAAGATGGAGAGGCAGATATACAGTGAGAGACATGGCAACATTAAGTCTCCAAAGAAAAATACTTAAGATACTAACCTAACCTGTCTGTTTCTGTGCAGCCTTTCTCGCGTTAGAAGTAAATGTAAAAAAAAGAAAATGGGACCAGTGTAGCTGTGTAGTTTAATTTTTTGAAAGATTTAAGTATTTTCCCAAAGTAGCTGGGTAGTGTAGTTTTTCCACAATGCTTCTTAAACTTCTCTTAACTACAGCCCTCCTTCTTCTCTGCATGGAAAAGCCAACATCTATCTTGTCTTCCGTATACGAGCCACCACAAATATATCAATGTTTGACAAACAAGCTAAAATTTCCAGCTCAGAGGCAGATAGCCAAGTCTTAAAATAACAGATAGATTTCAAGAACAACATAGATTTCCAGTCCAGACTTCTTAGTCAGACAGTTCATTCTGCTTTATAATAGAGCATTTTAACAGTGGGCTTAATGCTTATTGACTCACATTTGGAGCCAGCCTCTTGTGGACAGTCAAGGAACTGCAGCACTTCAACCTAAGCTTCAATTCAGCTTGTTTTAAACAACCCTTCACTCAATAGGATTTAACTAATAGTTGCTGCCACAAAGAAAAGTGAACCAGCCTGTTTGACGATCTAGTAACACGATTCTGTGGTTTTAAGGTGATAGCTGACAAGAAGAAAGCCCTCCAGAAATAAAAAAGGGTTTAAAGTTTCATAGGTGGATAAACACAGAGTGTCAAAGGCTTTGTATGTATAGTACTTAATTGCACGTTGACAACATTTTGCGAAAGCAAGGCCTACAGGGTACAAACAAGCCGATTTGAGTAATTTTAACGACTGAGCATTTTGCAGTCATTATTTAGTTTATATTTAAGTTAATGTTAAAAACTTCTGTTTCTGCTTTAAGAAAGACCCATTTTTATCTGTTATATAAGAAAATACTGAGTCTGTGTTTTCTTTTCTAAAGTTTGTGTCTTCTTCTTGGTCTTTTGTTGTCTATAGTTAGAAGACTTTTTTAGAGTAGGAGGGTGGAGGCCTGGTTGGTATGTAGGTGGGATAGATAAGAAGCATCCCAAAGGCAAAAAGACAAAGAAAAAGACATCTGCAATGTAAACGTGCAACAGCAACCTGTTCTGTCGAGCATGTTCTGTCAGCGTGGCTTTATAAGCTCAACTGAACTTTATTTGTTTAGCACCTCTCATACAAGCATGCAGCCCGGAGTGCTTCATAAAGAAAAAAAAAACAGTAAAAATCATTTATTTTTTGTTTGTTGAAGGACTTTAGTCATGATCAAATACTAGAAATTTTAAAAAAAAGTTAAGAAAGAAAGCCAGATAAACACTGATAAGGTTTTTTTTTGGAAAACAAGATATAAGCTCCAAATGAAAAGTCACATTTAAAGGGATGTACACACACACACACACACACACACACACACACACACACACACAGAAATAGAGAAAGAGAGTCTTTGATGAGAATTCTGGTTTTGTGGATGATTGGATATGATGGTTTTGGCTCAATCCAAGAATAATACAACAAGAACAATACACATCCATAAACATTCATATTTAAACAGAAGGCATCCCTTTTTCCTACAGGTCATTTATATAGAGATGAGAGACTTTTAGTCTCTCTCTCTCTCTAACACACACACAAACACACTCACACACACAAGAGTGGCAACAGCTAATCATAACACCCCCCATTTAGCTGAGCCCTCCAAGTTCATCATAAATGATAATGCCAGACTTCCAGTTAGCCTCTGGGATCACAATATAGACTAGGATGACACAATGGGCACACACACACACAAACACACACACGCACACAAAGTGATGACTCAGTACTCTTTTAGGTCACTTGGTATTGGACAGCCCTGTGGGTCAACTGGCAAGCAGATGAACTCAAAGTTCAGTGTACACGTTGCAGGATCATGAAAATGTGGACGTTGATTAACACATGTAAGGTTTGTGACTGTGTTGCTTTGTGTGTGTACATCATTAGTAGTGGACAGGGGAGGCTTTGGTCTATAATAATGTTGATGTCAAAAATATCCACCACATATGTGAGTCATCTTTTAATTTGAGTGTGCTCGTGCTCTCGTGGTCCTCTGGGTAATGAAGTGTGCAATTAGACTGTAAGGACTTCATTAAGGACTAACAAGGCTTTATTCTTCTTTTCATGTGACAGTGGCTAATGGTGGGAGTTGAGGTTGTCAGGTTTCAACTTCACATCTCTGTTGGTCTCTCTTTTATAAAAGCATAATTGTTATGCAAAAAGCTACACCAAAAGCTGTGTTATGTTAAACTACTGGGGACCACTTCATCGTATGATGGTGTCCATAATCACACACTCACTTCACTATTCCCTCTACCCTCTCCCATATACATTTAAAAAAAAATATGTACAACAAATGGTCCCTAGCAAAATATACAATCATGCATTTCAGTGCAAAGGAAAACTGCAGATGGATGACAGCAATTATCTTCATCGGAATCCAGCAACGTGCCTTGACAGACAGTGGTATTTTTATTGTGCCATTGAGCTCACTAATGAGAAATCCTTTTAAGTAGGGCTAATTATTTTCACTCATAATTCAGACAGCACTACGACTAGCGAACTCCCTAGTGAACTACATTGTAAATGGGTGATTTTGGACACAGACATGATCTCTGATGTCTTATAATAATACATTTTCTTAGCCAGGACTGAGTAGACTTGCCTCTTCTTTTCAGTCAGTATAACCAAAATGTATCTTCTTGGTTTGATCTTTTTACGTTAGCTTTTCAAAGCAGTAGGCTGATTGCCTCATGTACCAACATATCCAGCTGTTGACCTGAAAGTGAAGCATGCAGACAGATTGGATCTCTCACCGGCTGCAAAAGATTTTCTGTCTGGGAGATAGTCAGCAAATCTATAGAAACTATTTGAAATTAGAAAGCACTTACCAAATAATAGCAAATGTTACATTGATAACATGCTGCAAATTAAAAAAAAAATGGTCGAGAAAAAACAAAAACAAATGCATTAACTGCAAATATGCTGCAGCACATCCCCAATGCAGAGTCAAAAACACACAAACCTAGAAAGCAAAGCCAAAAGAAAATCTTTGCCTAACGATTCTTTAATGGAAGTGCTCCAGGTGTTGACTGCGAGGAGGAGGAGGTTCTAAGGCTTGCGGGTAGAGACTCTACTGGGCTTCTTAAGAAACTCTGTTGGGCTGTTGCAGCATGTTGTCTTTCTCAGCCACCGGATATTTTCCATCACTAAATGCTAATTAGATGGCTCATATCTTAAATAGACATAAACACACTGTTCCAAAGAATGCAGTTAATTTGCACTAAATAAAAAGTCTAAAGAGAATAAATAGCAGTATGAGTGTAACTGAACTCTGTGCAGTCAGCTGCTCCTCGTTGTTGTAAGCTGGTGGGAGGAAAGGTGGAAAACCACTGAAGCAGCATTTCAACCAAGGAAAACAACCACAACACATGAAATGTGTCTTGGCAGGTTCCAGGTGCTGTAGGGCTCGCCCTGTCTCACAATTGTTTTGCTTTACAATAGCTTCATCTCTCTGGCTGTAGGAGTAGTTTTTCTGCTTTCCTTAGGGAGCATCAAGCACAAAGCAGCGTGGCTTCAGATGCCGACTGCTGCGACGCCACAAAAAACAACTCTCACATGCTCTAATGTACTATGGAGGCCCTACAGTTTATGATACCAGCTGACAGGGTGTCCAGTAGACTCAGAGAAAGAATAAATAAGTGAGATTATATCAGAATCTAGTCACGTAAAAATAGAAATACCTCAGTTGTTCCTGCGGTTTAAAAATGTACTTGTATGTGATGTGTTGTTGTTGCACCTTGCCCGTTGAATAATCTGTCTGGATCTTGCAGGGAGAAAGTGCGTGAGAGTCAGATGATTTATTTCACATGTCAGTCTGGTGTATGGGCTTGTTTAAAGACTTCAGGTCACAGATTGATGCCAACTCGAGTTATTTTGCTTTAAATGTCCCGACAAATATGTGATCATTTGTTTTATCAGTTTATCACAGGGGGGAAATTCTGTTGCATAAATAGTCCAGTAGGAATTGAACCCAAGCGCTAGTCTGTTAGGGATTCAGGAAATACATGTCCACGGGTCTCAAGAATTCTAGGTTAATATTTAAGTAAAAATAACCACATTAGATATTTTACTTTTTTCCTGACTGAACACTTTCTGAACACACTCTTTATCCTCATCTCAATCTTACTGCAGAGTAAAGGGTGCTTTGACTGTAATCAAAACATCTGTTTGTTTTTGAAACTGAAGCCAGAAACA